GCAGCAATATGGATTGTACTGCCCAGGTGCTCAAAATGAAATGTCTTTTCTTACAGAAAATCAAAAATTTGTGCAACTTAAACATCCATTTCTGTCACTCTGTGCTACTTGTGGTTTTAAAGCAGGCCAGTGGTGTCTACTTCAGAGGGCAGCTATGCATGTGAGGGAGCAGAGGGTGAGTGACCGATAAAAGGCGAAGAAGGTGCAGTCTTGAGGGTCCAAGTAGGAATGACTGCTGTCTGATTGCTGGGGACAAACACTCATCTGTCTCCTTCATTGCTAACGCTGTGAAGCATACAGTATGCTTTATTATTCTGCCAACTCACTGTGGCTTACATTGTAAAATACAATGCTTCCAAAGATTGACTTTTCAACCTCAGCGAGAGTGTGTGTAATTGCAACAAGATATATGTGTGATCAACATTCTCTGATAAAAGAACAGTAACACGCAGAATCTTTTCTGAGATTAGATTCTGGTCAAATTCTGGATATTGGTTTTCTAATAAAACAGAGGAAGGGAGGGAATTGTTGACCGATACACAAATGGATAGTGTCAGTGCAATCAATCTACCCTAGAAATGCTGCATATTTCAGAAAATTGGCTATATCTAGCCAGCATTGTATGACATGTAGAAAGGTGACTAGGGCACACCTTATTTCTGTGAACTGCACCTTGGCTGACTCTGCAAATGTCTCTGCCATTGCCTGTAACGAGCCAGTAGATTGATTTAGTGTAGATTTCACATGCAGTTTTCATTCCAGGAAGTGACATTAGTCATTGATCAGATCTCCAATGAACACCACTTTCGTACAAACTGTTTTTTGCTGAGGTGTAAATGTATCTTACAATAGAGTGTATACTGGAAGGCTTTGTATACCCAAGACCCCTCTGGGATATCCTACTTGCAGTTTCTGCTTTAGCAGTCCAATGTCACCAACAACAAACTTGAAAGCTAACTCAGATTTCTGTGTTTGCTGAAAGGCATACATTTCCCCCAGAGCCCTCCACCTCAGTAAACCCTCTGTATATTTGCATAGTTCCCACTGATACTGCAATGATAAACAACTCATAACGTACAAAATCTGTGTTTCAATGCAGTTTAAAAACTATTAATGCACAGATAATTGCAACAGTTGGAATGAAATTCAATGTTTGAAGTACCAGCAGTAACATACACTTTTATTAACGAGCAACAAATTTTTAATGTTGGCACTTCCTTTAACACACCCTCAATGACATCACTGAAAACTTTGGACTGGAAATTCTGAATTTAGGCAACAACTTTAAAATAAATCATCTTTCATTCTGTTCATTACAATAGTTGCTACACACTTCAAAGCCACTTCTTTGACTATAAAGCACTTTGAGATGTCCTGAGGTTGTAACAGGTGCTATATAAATGCAAGTTCATTTTTTTACTGAACAAAATAAGATGCAAGATAAACCAGCTGTTTATAAAAGAAATTGCACCTACCAGCTCAACTCTTCCAAATCCTCCAACTCCCAGCGTATCAATGATGTTAAAATCACATAGTTTCAGGTTTGAAAAGAAGGCAGATTCAGCTTCATATCTAGATTTTGTCACATGAAAAAACGGAAAGTTCTTAGTTGTGATGAAATGGCAGTTCTGCAGCATTATTACAGGATGGAAGGGCAATACAATTAATCTGTTCTTAGTTGCTTCATCAACTGAGACCTATATTTTCTTGTGTAAACTGACCATGTTCTGACCCCAGAAATCCGACTCAAAAATGTTTATGTTTTGCTGTTCCTCTACATTCATCAACTCAGAAAATTTAACTAAGGGTCTTGCTGGTATTAATCCTGGACCACGCACATTCCCTCTGCATGCCTCTCATTTCTTCATTTCACTTTGGCAAATATTTTTTATGAGAGATTTAAATAACCAATTATTGAAGGCAAGGGAAGGAAGATGTAAATTTTTAGGTTTCCATATCTCATTATCAGAAGCACCTCCCAAACCAATTCCTTGCCTACAGCTGGTACGGCTTATCGAAATGGGAGGGATCAGAAATGCCAAGTTCATAAAAGTCAGTAGAGAGCAGACAAATCCAGTTTTGCACTAGGAAACAGTTCATAACGAATGTCACAAAATATTTCCCTATAATGTTGCACATGGCTTCAAAGAATTAGCCAGCGCAAGTGTTCATTAATGCTTTGCTAAGAAGTTGCCTTTTCTGAACTGAGTGGCAATATAAGAAAGGAAAAGTCAAACACTGCCAAAAATGAATTACCTGAATTTAGAGTCTGACAAATACAGATAAGAATGTAGAAGCCCCACATCCATTTACTAACATGCAGGCAGCTCTAAAAATAGCAACATGTGGTGTGCCCTGGTATGAGGAGAAAAATCTGATGATATGCACTCTGGATAGGCATCTGGTGGCTAAAAAAAGGGTTAACCACATGATCTGATAATTGGCCTTTAACCCACTTTATTGCATGCTTCAGTGATTGGTGCTGAAACACCTTGTGAGAACTATTCTTTGCCCTATTCTCAATATGGCATCTTGAAATTATTGTCCCATTTTAAAGACTAGCTGATTTCATTCAAGTCCACAGTCATAACAGTGCACAAATGCTTCCTGATAAACAGATAGTTATATTAAAAAGGCCTTGTTGATGTAAGACTCAGATGTATTTGAATCCAGTTTGAATCTATGAAGGAATATTTTGAGGTACATCAGAAATTGAACAACACCCCAAATTACTCATTATCTCTGATCTGCTGATGGAAGACAGGGCGTTACTGCGATAGCTTAACTCAGATGGCAGACCTTTTGATATGTAAATTCAGTTCTGGAATATAGAAAGGACCATCATTTGAGGACTCAAGATGTGTATGCTGTACAGGGTCTGCACAACATTAGCTCACAGGTCTCCAAAGGATAGTCCAGGAACATTATATTAATGGTCTATCTGTCTATCTTTACAAATAGGTGATAAAGATCCGGTAACGCTAATCAAAAAACAGAGAACCCCCCAAAAGTGTTCCTATTGACTCTCTGTTCAATCATCTACTTCCCTTTCTTCTCCAAAGTGCTTAAGTTTCTTGTCACCTCCTAAATACTACCTTTTCTTTAACTCTATGTTTCAATCCCTCTATTTAGATTTCTGTCATTGCTACAGTATCAAAGCAGCTGATTAAAGTCACAAATAATAATCGATGTGACAGTGATCATGGTAAACTGGTCCTCCTCTTCCTCAACTTGTCTGCAGCCTTTAACACAGCCAACTACATATCCTCCTTGCTGCCTCTCATGGGTGTAACAGTCCTCACCTCGTTCCATTTTTCTCTGCCCAGTTGCAGCCAGCAAAAGCTACTCATCCCACTCATGTTACATTACCTCTGCAGTTTCCCAGCAAACTACCCTGCCCCCTTTCTATTTCTCATCACTGTGCTATCCCTTGGCCATATCGTCCAAAAATATAATCTCAGTCTCCATCTGCTCAATGTCACCACTAACCTTTACCTCACCATCAACTCTCTTTACCTTGCCATAATCACTCATTTGCCATACTACTTGTCCAGCTTCTCAAGGCAAATGAGCAGAAATGTCCACCGGCCATGTACAAGGCGAAGACTCAATCTATCCCTGTCACAAATTCCATTCCCTTTTGCATCAGCTCAATTCTTCTCACTGGGGACTGTGTGTGGTTTATCCAAACTTCTTCACGTTATTATGTTGTAGATAACCCTGAGATGGACTTCCAATTATTTATACACTCTATCAACCTCTATAACATCGTCCAACTCTGGCCTTGCCTCAGTGCATCTGCTGCTGAAACTCTTACCCATGCCTTTGTTACTTCTAGACTTGACTATTCCAATGATCTCTTGGCTGACCTCAGAACTTCCATCTTGCAAAGACTTGAAGTTATCCAAAACATTGCTTCCTGCATTTTAGCTCATCTATCATTCCTCTGTTTGCTGATCTACATTGTATCCTTGCCCACCAACACCTTAATGCTAAAATTCTCAACTTCCCTTCAAATCACTTGCTGGCCTCATAACTCCCTAACTGCTTCCTGCTTTGTAATCCTTTAAGCTTTCTGTGTTTTTCCAAATGTCGTCTTTTTAGGAATCTCTGGTGGCTGTGTCTTCATCTGCTTTAGTCCTAAGCTCCATCCTACCCTTCTAACATACCTGTCTCACTATCCCTCTTCCCTCCTTCATAGATGATCCTTAATGTTTCCTGCATCACTGAGCTTTGTGTCACTTGTCTGAATATAGCATGTTGCACTGACGTAAATTTTGTTTGATAATGGGGCTGTAAAATGACATGGGAATTTTGCAGTGTTAAAGGTGTTGTATAAATGCAAGTTCTTGTTATTATTGCTTTTGTTTCCTTCCAAATGGCAAATATAATCAAGTTTTATTGGGCAATATCTATTTAACTTATTTTAAATTATTATACAGAATAATGTTAATCGTTTATTTGAAATTGAAGGACAGAAATTTTGGATAAGTATCTCTGCAAGGTCTGGATTATGTGATTTCATGCTTTCCATTCTCTTTCACAAAAATAACATTTGTTAGTGAGCAGCAATCAATTCACAAATCTATAAAAGAAACAGCAGATTACAATTCCTTAAAAGTGAATCTGAAGTTTTGGTACTCCCGAGGAAACAAACATTAAAGAAAATTTGACAGAATGTAGTGTCCTCTTCTTTAATGCTGTACATTTCCTACAACCTCTTGTGAAGCTAATAGATTCCTGTGTTCATTTAAATGAGGAACTGGACTGCCAACAAAGTTAGGCCATGAACATGACATCATTATATCTGCTACAAAGAAGTTCAGAAATATCCAGGTAAACCTCCATATAATCAAATTCAGCTTCATTTCTTAACCTAGGCACATACCTTTTGATCTACCTTGAGTAACAAATGTTAAAATAGAAAAATAAAACTTATGGCATGTTTAAATTGGTATCAATTCTATTTTTCTTTCTAATTTATTCATGGGATTTGGGTGTCACTGGCTAGGCCAGCATTTATTGTCTGTTGTATATTGGTCTAGAAGCGTTAATACTGAGGAATGGCATAAGCAGACTCCAAAATGATTGCACCAGATGGATTTATGGACAGAACTGCTTAGGACCTTGAAAGAGTGAGGCCTAACATTGATTCTTGATCAGGAGGGGATCAAAAGTTATGGGAAAGGGCAGGATAGTGAACGTGAGGAATGTCGGATAAGCCTTGATCTGATTGAATGGTGGAGCAGGCTTGAGAGGCCTGATGGTCCACTCCTGTTCTTTTTTCGTAGATCCTTATGGTCTTAATATCTGGTCTTGCTCAAAATTTCTGCAACAGAGTATAGTGTATCAATGTAACTAGTTGCTAACACGTAATAGGTTCTATCTCGTTAACTAAGATGCTTCTAGTTAGACCAAAAAGTCTCCCTCTTCCACATTAGACTAAGTGGCCCTGTACTTCCCAACACTTAAAGAGGACGTTGGCAACAACCTTCATCATAAGGGTGGGATGTTCTTCAGTGGGTCGATGTGGACTTCATGGGCCAAATGGCCTGCTTCCACACTGCATGGATTCTATGATTAGCTACACAGACAAAGGAAACTGGTTGAATACTGTAAACAAGTGTGTGAATGATACAATTATTTTCCACTGCTGTCAAGACTGAAGAATGTGCAGATTGCAAGAGCTAGCAAGGCTTTTGAGGAAAAACAAGCAATGAGGTAGTCAGCGAATAGCATTGCCATTGATTCAATTCACAAATCTGCAACAGATATAACGCAGAGCGCAACATAGCTTATTAAATAAGTAGCTGTGGCAGATTGAGGACTGATGTTAGAGACTGAGCTGACTTGAATGAACAAGTTCAAATGGAATATTTGACTTCTTTAACTTTCCAGGAAAAATCCTCAGGATTTGCGGCAGAGATCATGCCATTATTGCTTTTATCAATAATGCAACTGCAGGGGGCACTAAGAGTGGCTGAACCAATCCAAATGTTGAAATACAAAATTTTCAAGCTTCAGCACAATTTGACAAAAAAGAATCAGCCGACACAAATTGAAGGTATGATGCTTACAACTTCCAGGGAAGTCATCAGTGAGAAGGGACAATCAACATCCAATGATACAGAAGACTGCAAAGAAGAAATAGCCTGTTTCAGCGGAAAAGACATCCTCTACAGAGAAAATCCAAGAGATCAATGGTCTTCCAATTTAAGGGAACCTAGAGACTGCAAACTATCAGGAAGAGAACCAAAGACTTTATTCATCCACCCATCGAATTAGCAACTTTTCAAAGTCCAAAGAGAACATAATTTGAGAGAATATTGATATCTCCAGATCACTTGAATTTGCAAAATCAGCAACTTGAGGCAAAACAGGGTTGTGGCAAATAGAATTATATTCAGAAATGAATAAAATCAGTAATGAAAAGAAATGCTTGTGGGAATATGTTATAAATAGTCTAAAAGGGTTAATAATGAGGTGCACCGAAAGCACCATTGATTATGATCATGTCAATTGATTTCATGGGCAGAACAGCTAAAATCTCAAAGGAGTAAGGTCTAACATTT